TAGAACACTGGTTGTTGACATTCCGGTGCTATAGAGAGCAACAGGAACACTAAGACGCTTATTTTCTTAATCGTGTGTGTGTGTGTGTGTGTGTGTGCGTGTGTGTGAAAGACGAAAGATATTGGAGAAGGAAGGAGAAGGAAGGAAGGAAGGAAGGACCTCAGGACGGATAGATGGACATCACATTCAGCTGACGTGACTAACATACGGGGAGGGGAGGGGCATCAAGGCTTTTTACCAGTGAAGGAATTTTCATTTGTGGAGGAATGTGTTAAAAGAACTTTACTTCCTTCCCTCCATCCCTCCCATCACCAGCACCTCCCATTGTCTTGACCGCAGCTCCGAGTCTGATTTTTCATTAATATTTTTATTTTAACATTTCAAGATAGAACTAAATAAAAAAAAGTACATTTCCTGACAAGTTTGGAGTAATATTTCTTTGGATTTCGTCTCTTGATGGAGATTATAATTCGTCTTAGTATTTCCTGGAAGTTTTAACCTTTTTAAGGGAAGATATTTGTATTCTTTAATCTGACTGGATGAGATATGAGACTTAATTTGACTATTTTGTTCATAGGGAATTAGAGAGTGAGGTTGTTGAGTGCCAGTGGTAGGTGGATGGGTGCCAGTGGTAGGTGAATGGGTGCCAGTGGTAGGTGAGTGGGTGACAGTGGTAGGTGAATGGGTGCCAGTGGTAGGTGAGTGGGTGACAGTGGTAGGTGGATGGTGCCAGTGGTAGGTGGGTGGGTTGCCTGATGGGTGAGTGGGTGACAGTGGTGGGTGGGTGCCAGTGGTGGGTGGGTGGGTGCCAGTGGTAGGTGAATGGGTGAGAGTGGTAGGTGGGTGGATACAAGTGGTAGGTGGATGGATGCCAGTGGTATGTGGATGGGTGCCAGTGAGGGGTCAGGGGTGAGGAGGATGGGTGTCAGAGGTAGGTGGATGGGGTCAGTGATAGGTGAATGGGTGAACAGTGGTAGGTGGATGGGGGTCAGAGGTAGGTGGATGGGTGACAGTGGTAGGTGGATGGGGGTCAGTGGTAGGTGGATGGTGACAGTGGTAGGTGGATGGGGGTCAGAGGGTGGATGGGGTCAAGTAGGTGGATGGGTGACAGTGGTGGTGGATGGGTGCAGTGGTAGGTGGATGGGTGACAGTGGCAGGTGGATGGGTGACAGTGGTAGGTGGATGCGTGCCATTGGTAGGTGGATGGGTCCCAGTGGTAGGTGGGTGGATACCAGTGGGAGGTGTGGGTGGGTCGCAGTGGATGGGTGACAGTGGTAGGTGGATGGGTGACAGTGGTAGGTGGATGGGTGATAGTGCTAGGTGGATGGGTACCAGTAGGGTGGATGGGTGACAGTGGTAAGTGGATGGGTGACAGTGGTAGGTGGATGGGTGATAGTGGTAGAGTGGATGGGTGACAGTCGTAGGTGGATGGGTGATAGTGGTAGGTGGATTGGTACCAGTAGTAGGTGGATGGGTGACAGTGGTAAGTGGATGGGTGACAGTGGTAGGTGGATGCGTGCCAGTGGTAGGTGGATGGGTCCCAGTGGTAGGTGGGTGAATGGCAGGTGGGTGCCAGTGGTAGGTGGGTGGGTGCCAGTGGTAGGTGGATGGGTGATAGTGGGTGGATGGGTGACAGTCGTAGGTGGATGGGTGATAGTGGTAGGTGGATTGGTACCAGTAGTAGGTGGATGGGTGGTGGTAGAGTGGATGGGTGACAGTGGTAGGTGGATGGGTGACAGTGGTGGGTGGATGGGTGACAGTGGTAGGTGGATGGGTGCCAGTGGTAGTTGGATGGGTGCCAGCGGTAGTTGGATGGGTGACAGTGGTAGAGTGGATGGGTGACAGTGGTAGGTGGATGGGTGACAGTGGTAGGTGGATGGTGACAGTGGTAGGTGGATGGGTGATAGTGGTAGGTGGATGGGTCCAGTAGTAGGTGGATGGGTGACAGTGGTAGGTGGATGGGTGACAGTGGTAGGTGGATGGGTGACAGTGGTAGGTGGATGGGTGATAGTGGTGGGTGGATGGGTACCAGTAGTAGGTGGATGGGTGACAGTGGTAAGTGGATGGGTGACAGTGGTAGGTGGATGGGTGACAGAGGTAGGTGAGTGGGTGCCAGTGGGAGGTGGATGGGTGCCAGTGGTAGGTGGTGGGTGACAGTGGTAGGTGGATGGTGCAGAGTGGGTGGATGGGTGACAGTGGTAGGTGGATGGGTGCCAGTGGTTGGTGGGTGGGTGCCATGGTAGGTGGATCGGTGACAGTGGTGGGTGGTAGGTGGGTGGGTGCCATTGGTAGGTGGGTGGGTGCCAGTGGTAGGTGGATGGGTGAGAGTGGTAGGTGGATGGGTGCCAGTGGTAGGTGGGTGGGTGTCAGTAGCAGGTGGATGGGTGACCTGTGGAAGGTGGGTGGTGACAATGGTAGGTGGATGGGTGACAGTGGTGGTGGGTGGGTGCCAGTGGTAGGTGGATGGGTGACAGTGGTTAGGTGGGTGGGTGCCATTGGTAGGTGGGTGACAGTGGTAGGTGGATGGGTGACAGTGGTAATGGGTGGGTGACAGTGGTATGTGGATGGGCAATTGGTAGGTGGATGGACAGTGGTAGGTGGATGGGTGACAGTGGTAGGTGGATGGGTGACAGTGGTAGGTGGGTGGGTGACAGTGGTATGTGGATGGGTGCCAGTTGTCATCATGGTAGTGGAGGTAAAGTTAAGACAAAGAGGAAAGGTGAGGGAAGGTGGAGATGGTGAGGGACTGGGAGGATAGTGAGGGAAGGTGGAGACAGGAGAGGCACAGGTACTCGTGTTTACTTCAGTATAATCAAAGCAACGCCTGAGGCTGACTGGGACCACGAGCACACATCATTCTCTGGGAGAATTGGAGAGACAGTGATAATAGAAATAAACAAAGAAAATTTATAGTGATGAATAAATGATTGAGAAGGGAAGAAAGCGATAAATAATGAAGAATAAATAGTGAAAAATAATAATGAAATAGGTAGAGGAGTATAAGATTACTTTTATAGCTGGATACAACGGTGAAATAAATGTTATTTAGAAAAGATTAATAAACAAAGACATTGCATAATTGAAAGTTAATTACCAAAAAGAGCCAATATACATATGTGAAAATAGATAATGTCGATCAGAGTCTAATTATACCAAGTCAATTCGCTTCGTGTCGAAAATTTCTTCCTTCACTGCGCATGACGTCATCTGGCCGGCAGCCCGCGGTGGGGGGGCGGGTGGTCTGGGGTGGGACCTCAGTTACCAGCTTGAAACTGTTGTATAGCCTAGTCATCTGTAATATATCTAGTGGCCATATTGCTAAATTGTAAGCCTCTACACATATATACATGTATTCACTTATTTAACTGAAATAACTTGGGGAGAGAGAGAATGGTGATAAATATAATCATTAACAATTTTTAGTGTTTTCTTTAACTATTGTATTTAATTCTTGAATTCCTTCTGTCCCACCAGTAAGTAGCTAGCCCATATGCCTATGATTACTTAATTGCATTTACACTGATACTGGCAGCGAAATCATAAGAATACAAATAATAATAAAGAGGTAAGAAGAGGATTGTTAATAATAATAATAAATTTTTAATAATAAGAATAGGAATATCATAAAAATAATGATTTCATGAGAAGTTCAAGTGGTTAACTGAAAGATAGTGTACTAGGGAATGATAAAAACAGGATATATGGCAAGAATACCTTCTAATACAGTGAGGTGGTCTGACCTGTGATCCACTACACGTCAGCGACTTCATATAATAAGCTTTGCGCGTGGGTAGACTTGGTATATTTAGACTTTAATGTAGATGAAGAGAAATTAATAATAACGTGAATAGAGATAGAATGAGAGAGTGTCATTAAGATATATAACAGTAAATTTGTTAATAAATTGAACGGTACCTGTTATACAAGAATAATGCATAATTGATTTATTAGCCTTAACAGTAACGTAACGTAACCTAACCTAAAAACACTTGCTTAATTAAAACTCTTACTCTTTAAAGCTCAGTAATCTATCTATAAAACAAAGAAGTATTTCTGTGTGTTTGTTTGTGTGTCCGCAAGAGAATCTCGGAAACTACTTTACCGATCTGTAGTGATGATGGATGGTGTTATATGTAGTGATGATGGATGGTGTTATATGTAGTGATGATGGATGGTGTTATATGTAGTGATGATGGATGGTGTTATATGTAGTAATGGATGGTGTTATATGTAGTGATGATGGATGGTGTTATATGTAGTGATGATGGATGGTGTTATATGTAGTGATGATGGGTGGTGTTATATGTAGTGATGATTGATGGTGTTATATGTAGTGATGATGGATGGTGTTATATGTAGTGATGACGGATGATGTTATATGTAGTGATGGTGGACTGTTGTTATATGTAGTGATGATGGATGTTGTTATATGTAGTGATGATGGGTGGTGTTATATGTAGTGATGATGGATGGTGTTATATGTAGTGATGATGGGTGGTGTTATATGTAGTGATGATGGATGGTGTTATATGTAGTGATGATGGATGGTGTTATATGTAGTGTTGATTAATGGTGTTATATGTAGTGATGATTAGACAATAAAATAATGACATTTTAATGCAAAAAAAAAAAAATTTGCTGTACCGTTGTAGTGAAAAACATGGTGGAACTTACATACACCGCTAATTAACTATTGATGGAAGAAGAAGTTTTGGGGACTGAACAGCGAGACAATGCGGAGCCTCCCGGAGGGTGGCGTCCTACCTTTGCCTAGGGCGTTTCTGCTAGTACAATATAATTGAGTAATGACCTTCCAGTTATTTTGACTTCATATGTTATTTTGACTTCATCTGTTTTTTTGGCTCCATCTATTATTTTGACTGCGTCTCCTATTTTGACTCCGTCTGTTACTTTGACTTCATCATCTATTTTGACTTCCTCGTCTATTTTGACTTCATCTGTTATTTTGACTTGTATTCACAAATTTAATTCTCCTTCAGACACCACATCCCGCTCACGCCGACGCCAGAAGACCGCGGCCACCCTGCGCTCGTGCTGGCGAAGTGGGCACCAGTGGGGTCGGGGCTGGTGATGGTGGACGAGCAGTACAATGTAGTGTACAAAAGGATGGCTGCCAGCCCTGAGGTGTACAAGATCACTGACACTGGCCGTCCCGGGGTAGTGTACAACGGCGTTCCGGACTGGGTATATGAAGGTACGTACATGTGTGTGTGTGTATTAGAGCAGTAATATATGTGTATTATTAGGTTAAAACACCACCACTAGAGCACCATTATGTTGTATGCACCATTACAAAAAAATATCCACATTACCACCAAAATTATATATGTATGCGCCATCATGTTGCAGGACTGGCCTTAGAACAATACTATATGCAGCGTGCCATTATCGAGGAGCCACTATATACCTGCACCATTAAGGCCTTCCATACTGGCCTGAGAGCCTCTCCCTGTTGTTTTAGGTTAAGGTGTGATGGTGTGCTTAGTCACGCTCCAACGAGTCCCTCTCTTCCTCTTCTTCCTCCTCCTCCTTTCATTCTCTCTGCCTCCTCCTTTCATCGTTTCGTTTTGCTTCTTCCTTTCGTCCACTCTGCCTCTTTCTCCTTTATCATTCCCTCTTCCTCCTCCTCTTTATCATTATCCTCTTTCTCATCATTATCCTCTGCCTCCTCTTTCTTTTTTTAACTACGCCTACTTCTCCACCCTTCCTTTGTCTCCCTTCCTTCTTTTCTTCCTTCTCATTCTCTTCCTCTTTTATTCCTCCTCCTTCTATTCTTCCTTTATTCCTCTTTCCTCTGCCTCTCCTCCTCATCCACCCATTCCTCCTGCTCTTCTTACTCCACCTCCTCCTCCTTTTCTTCCTTCTCCCTTACTTCTTCCTCCCTCTTCCTTCCTCCCCCCTTTCTTTCTTCTCTTAAGAACATAAGAACATAAGAAAAATAAGGAGTCTGCAATAGGCTGGTTGGCCTGTGCATGGCAGCTCCTGTCGAGAGTTACTACCACTCTCTATCATCCATGAATCTATCTAGCCTCCTTTTAAAACTTCCCAGCGTTCCAGCACTTACTACAAAGTTGCTAAGCTTGTTCCACTCGTCCACCACCCTATTTGTGAACCAGTTCCTTCCTATCTCCCTCCTAAACCTAAACTTATCCAACTTAAATCCGTTGCTCGTATATTATAAGAACTTTATCTATATCTCCTTTATTGATTCCTTTCAACCGCTTAAATACTTCTATCATATCTCCCCGCACTCTTCGTTTTTCTAGGGAATGCAAGTTTAGTTTCTTTAACCTATCTTGATATGAAAAGTTTCTAAGTCCCGGAATCGTTTTCGTCATTCTTCGCTGCACCGACTCCAGTGAATTGATATCCATTCTATAATAGGGGCACCAGAACTAAACCGCATAATCGAGGTGCGGCCTGACTAGCGCAAGATATAGTTGCAATAAGACCTCTGCACTTTTATTAATTACACTTCTAGATATAAAACCTAATACTCTGTTTGCTCTATTTCGAACGTTAACGCACTGTTTTCTAGGCCGTAGTCGAAGTCTCTTTCACAAGTCGACTTCTCTAGGTTAATGTTGTTAAGGCTGTATACATTGACAGTATTTGTTCTTCCAATATTAAGTACGCTGCACTTGCTGGTGTTGAATTTTATTTGCCATTTTCTGACCACTCCTGCAGTTTATTTAGATCATCCTCTAGTGCATTTGCATCCTGCCCTGAATTAATCTGCCGCCCTATTTTGGTGTCATCCGCAAACTTGCTTATGTCACTGCTGATCCCAGTATCTAGATCGTTTATGTAGATTATGAACAAGAGTGGGCCCAGTACTGACCCCTGGGGAACCCCACTGGTTACACAGCCCCACTCAGATTTAACACCATCTACGCTGACCCTCTGTGTTCTATCGGTGAGCCATGATTTTATCCAATGTAAAACTTTCCCCTCGATACCATGAGCCTTAACTTTTCTCAGAAGCCTCTGATGCGGTACTCGGTCAAACGCTTTGCTAAAGTCTAAGTAAATAACATTGTAATTTTCGTTATTATCTACTACCTCGAAGACTTTCCTTCTCCCCATGCCGTTAACCGTGCCTGTCACAATTATTTTTGTTTACTATTCTTTCGCCTCCTTTACTAGATAGTGTCTCTGATTCCTCTTTTTATTGGTTTGCTTTCTTTCTTTCTTTCTTTCTTTCTTTCTTTCTTTCTTTTAGCTCTCTCTCTCTCTCTCTCTCAGGCACAAAGGGTCACAACTGACATATGTTTGCACCATTGCTCTAACTGTACACCAGAGGGCAAGACCTTGTAATCAACTCCTGAAGTATGTTCTTTATATTTCTGTCTTGTTCTTTGTGTCGTCTTTGTGTGTTTTATTCCCTAGTTTTGTTTATACCTCGTGTTATTTTATCATCATTTGTGGATTTTCTTGTTCGTATTTTATTTCTGAACCTAACCGAGTGTAGCATAAACTTAACCTAACCTAATCTAAGTTAACTATCATCTAACCTAACCTGACCTTAACCTAACCTAACTATAACCTAACTTAATCTAACCTGAACCGAACAAAATAGCTTAACTTAACTATGATCTAACCTAACCTAACTTAACTTACCCAGGTGAACTCAATTAGCGTTATCTAGTTAAGGGTAAGAATCTCAATTTAACTGTTTGGTTATTATAGTTAGTCTTTTAACTTATATCGACTAGTTAGGATCATTCTTACATCTTCACTAACGAGGAACATTGATCATGATAAAGCTTTAAGATATTCTGACCTTACCTGACCTGACCTAAGTGTTTGATGACCCGTGAGGGGGGGAGGGGCTCATGCAAGTTTGCTCCTTTATAATCTTGATGACTTTTGTGTCAGGCTATTAATATTTTTGAGTGTCCCTCCCTCTTTTCCCTCCCTCCTTCCTTCCTTCCTTCCTTCCTTCCTTCCTTCCTTCCTAGCCTTCTCTCCCCCCCTCCCTCCCCCCTCCTAGCCTAACCTTACCTTACCTTCCCATTATCCATCCATCCTGACCTTCCTTTCTCTCTAACTTGATACTTCCTCCCTCTTTCTAATCTGACCATCCTTCCTTCCTTCCTTCCTTCCTTCCTTCCTTCCTTCCTTCCTTCCTTCCCTCCAACTTGTCCCGTCTCCTTTCCATTCACATTCACATTATTATTATTATTATTATTATTATTATTATTATTATTATTATTATTATTATTATTATTATTATTATTATTATTATTATTATTACTGAAGACCTCAGAGAAATAGTGACTTTAATGATGAAGACCCCAGGGAAATAGTGACCTTAATGATGAAGACCCCAGAAAATAGTGACCTTAATAATGAAGACCCTAGAGAAATAGTGACCTTAATAATGAACCCCCAAATAGTGACCTTAATGATGAAGACCCCCCCAGAGAAATAGTGACCTTAATAATGAAGACCTCAGAAATAGTGACCTTAATAATGAAGAACTCAGAGAAATAGTGACCTTAATAATGAAGACCCCAGAGAAATAGTGACCTTAATGATGAAGACCCCAGAAAATAGTGACCTTAATAATGAAGACCCTAGAGAAATAGTGACCTTAATAATGAAGACCCCAGAGAAATAGTGACCTTAATGATGAAGACCCCAGAAAATAGTGACCTTAATAATGAAGACCCCAGAGAAATAGTGACCTTAATGATGAAGACCCTAGAGAAATAGTGACCTTAATGATGAAGACCCTAGAAAATAGTGACCTTAATAATGAAGACCCCAGAGAAATAGTGACCTTAATGATGAAGACCCCAGAAAATAGTGACCTTAATAATGAAGACCTCAGAGAAATAGTGACCTTAATGATGAAAACCCTAGAGAAATAGTGACCTTAATGATGAAGACCCCCAGAAAATAGTGACCTTAATAATGAAGACCTCAGAGAAATAGTGACCTTAATAATGAAGACCTCAGAAATAGTGACCTTAATAATGAAGAACTCAGAGAAATAGTGACCTTAATAATGAAGACCCCAGAGAAATAGTGACCTTAATGAAACCCCCAGATATTAATAAGACTAGTAACCCACCATTAAAACTTACCCCTTAAATAAGAGCGTCGAATCATAAGTTAAATTAACCATAGCGAAGGAGAAATGGAGCCATGAATCTGTTGTTTACCGAACTCTCCCCCCCCCCTGACCCTCCACACCCTCTCCTCCTCACCGACACCTTCTTTTCTCCTCCTCACCTTTCTCCCTCCTCCTATCCTCCTATCCTCCTCACCTTTCTCCCTCCTCCTATCCTCCTCACCTCCTCACCTTTCTCCCTCCTCCTATCCTCCTCACCTCCTCTCCTCCTCACCTTTCTCCCTCCTCCTCACCTCCTCCCCTTTCTTCCTCCTCCTCCCCTTCTCACATCCCCTGCTTCTCTCCACTTTGCCTCCCCTCCCCTCTTCTCCCCGTCCTCTCCTCCTCCTTCCCGTTCTGACCACCCCCTCCTCTCCTCCCCCCCTCTCCCCCCCCAAGACTACCCTCCTCCTCCTCCTCCTCGTAAGGTGTTTGCGCTGAGTGTGGCACGCCTTGGGGGTGAGGTAGTGTGCAGGGGGTGAGGTGGTGGTGGCACTTGGGGGTAGTGTGAAGTGGCATAGGCAGTGAGGTGGGGGTAGCACACCTGGGCAGTGAGGTGAGATAACACCTGGGGGTGAGGGTGGGGCACACTGGGCAGTGAGGTGGGAGTGGCACCAGGGGGTGGGTGGGGAGTGGCACTGGGCAGTGGTGGGAGTGGCACTTGAGGGGTGAGGTGTGTGAAATAACACCTGGGCAGTGGTGGGGAGTGGCACCCCAGAGATGAGGTGGGGGAGTGGCATGGGGGTGAGGTGGGAGGTGGCATGGGCGGTGAGGGTGGGGAGTGGCTTGGGGTGAGTGGGGAGTGGCACTTGGGGTGAGTGGGAGTAGCACGGGCAGTGAGGTGGGGTGGCAGGGGGTGAGGTGGGAGTGGCACTTGGGGGTGAGGTGGGGAGTGTGGCGCAGAGGGGTGAGGTGGGGAGTGGCACTTGGGCAGTGAGGTGGGGGTGGCACTTGGGGTGGGGTGGGGAGTGGCACTTGGGGTGGGGTGGGGTGTGCCAGAGGTGGGGTGGGGGTGGCACTTGGAGCTGGTGGTGGGGTGGCACTTGGGGAGTCAGATTGGGGAGTGGCACTTGGGG